GCCACTGAGGGAAGCAAATGATCTAAAAGTGTTCAAGCAATACTGACTTAAAAAAAATCAAATTAGATATTTGAAAATAAAAACAGCTGGAGAGAAAAAAAAAACTCTTTTGTACCAGGGGAATAAAAGACAATAGACCTAGAAAGTTCTGTCTTGACTGTACTCTGCTCACAGCAGAATTAATTGGATCTTACCCGTGCTAGTAGCTATGCTCCATCAGAGTAGGAAAGGCCCCATTAAAGATATTGAGGCCATCCCATAAGTGGGTTAGGTGTGAGTGCTCCCATTGCTACAGCTTGAAAGAGTTGAAGTTGCTCATGGAGCAGAAGTGAGGAATCTTTGCTAATTCCCTCACTCATTATTAGTCTGACCAGAGTACTCTTGTCTTTGATTATACCGCTTCTCCCGGTGGAGAGATTCCTGCAGCGCTGGAATTTTCCTCTCAGGCTTTGCGCAGTGCTTAAAGTGAGGCATGCCACTGCCCAACCGTGGAGCAAACAGGCCCGAAAGGATCCCTTTTTTGGAGGCCAGATGTTTAAGAATAGAAACTATAAAGACTAAGAAGGGAAGACAAGTTGCAGTTTGCACCTCTTTTCACCAAATAAGAGGATTCTCAATGCAGCTGTTCGATCTACTTTGACAACAGCATCCTAGGCTATCTAGCATTATCTATACCTACAAGGCGACGATGTACTAAGCGGCAGAATGTTGGACTTGTGACCATGTGGAAGGACTATTCTACTGTGACATCAAGGGAGGAAACTGGTGTGCAGGGTGGGAGTGGGAATTCCTATGCCTGGGGAACTGTATCATGAAAATCATAATTAAAGGAGCTACAAAGAAAAGAACACTTGCTTTTACTGGGAAGTATGACCTCTGAAGGGGAGAAAAGCCTCTCTGTTCGGGAAAAATAAAATAGTATTTTGAATTGATCTGAAGGCCATGCTCCACTAAAAGATCAGAGTTGAAGATGTGGTCATATTAAAATTAGCAATGCTAATGAAGGTTTCGTGGAATCACAGATCATTTTAATCCACTTAACCTTCTCTATAAATGCTCCACTTAGAAAACACTGTAGTTCTATTTTTAATAGTCTAATCATGGGTCTGTGTTATTTTTAAGACAGAAGCAATAATGCTTATATAATGTCAGGACCAATCAAAACATTGGAATATGGCTTAATTTTTTGTCAGTTCTAGTTTTGTGACACTGTGGTAGCCAACTAATGAATTGTCTGATAAATTGGAAAATAAGGATTGTCTAAGTCATTAACTAACATGACTTTTTGTTCTTTAATGACAAGCTGAAAACTATCTGAATATCACCTTCTCTGTGTGGGCCTAGGCATACAGAACACTGTAACATAAATTTTTATAAAACAAAGGATCAGGAGCCCAATGTGATAGCCTAGTAGTTAAATCCTCACTTTTCAACCATTGGGATTCAACCATGGGTGCTGGCTCATGTCCCAGCTGTTCCACTTCTATTCAGCTCCCTGCTTGTGGCCTGGGAAAGCAATTGAGGATGACCCAACACCTTGGGACTCTGCATCCACATGGGAGATCTGGAAGAAGCTCCTGGCTCCTGGCATTGGATCAGCTCAGCTCTAGCCATTAAAGCCACTTGGGCAGTGAGCCAGCAGATAAAAAACCTTTCTCTCTGTCTCTCCTTCTCTCTGTAAATCTGATTTTCTAACAACAACAATAATAATAAAAGATCAGTATGGTTCACATAAGGAACCCTCTACCATCTTTATAGTGGGTTCTGTGTTAAGGAGATACTGACCTTGCAAACCTTCCAGAATGTTCTGTAAATGAAGAATAAAAGCAGGCTGCCTTCACTTATATAAATGATGCTAATTGCTTTTATTCATTGGTTCTGTATTTCCTCCTTAATGTGTTTTGATAATGATTCATTGATTGCATCAGTTTTTAATTTAGAAGACAGCACTGTGCACCTACTATGAGGCAGATACTTTCCTGAATACGGAGCTTATGGTTTGAGTAAAACAAGCAAGCTTCTTGTTTTTATAAAAATTATTGCTTAGTAAAATGGAGATAAAATTAAATGAACAATAAAAGGCAAGGATATATTAGGAAGTAAAATATGTAAAAGTAGAAATTACAATCAATACAACAACAAAAAAATATAATGAGAGTGAGTGAGTGGGCAAAGAGGATTGTTTTCAGTTTAGGTAGTCAGGAAAGATGGACTGTAAAGTTCAGAAAGCAGGACCGCTAAGTGAATGTCAAAGCAGAGGGAACAGCAGGTGCAAACCTGAAAGGTGAGGAGGAAGAGTACTGAAGCCAGCCAGATGAATTCATATGGAGGTGGGAGCCCCATCCCATAAAGCTTTGGAGTCACAGGAACCAGGTTCCTGGAACAAGGTTAGGTTTTGCTCCAAGAATGTTGGACATTGATTGTAGATTTCTTGTCAAATAAGGACGTGATTTAACATACTTTAAAAGATTCAGCATTAAACACATGTGGGCAGTGGTTTATAGAAGTGAAAGTGAAAGCAGCAAGATCTGTTGCACGTCTGTGTCGTGAATGGTGGTGGCAGCTCTGTCCACCAGTGGAGAAGAAGTGTGAATGCATGAGGAGGCAAAAGTTAACCAGAAGATTAAATTCTATCTATTAGCATAAGAACCTTATCTGGTTAGAGTTGAGTAAGAAATCCCTTTAGAACTCAGTCCACTGAAATCCTTCAATGCATTGAAACATGAGAAAAAACTCAGACACATTTGGAACACCACAGCATCATAGAAAAGACAGATTGCTAGCACACACAAGCCTGGGCCTTACACTTCTTTCCTTCCCAGGTGCTCAACGATTTACATGAATTCATACAGCGTCTGTAGGTAGTGGATAGGGACACTGTCATTGGGTAGACCCTCCCCAGTTAGGAACTCACGATGGCCAAGATGTGAACCCTCAAAAGTAACACCCGAGGGGCTGTTATAGGGTGCATATCTGTCTATGGATTAATCATACTCTTACACAAATTAAATAAAGGTATGAACACTATTATATCTCAGAGAGGCCTAAAGCTCAGACATTAAAAACCCACTAGGTTCGAATCTTGGCTTGACAAATTATTGACAGCATCCCTTGGGATGAGTCATTTAATTCTTTCCTTACAGTAATTTCGTAGTTGTGTGATGACCCAATAAGGTAAAATAGCAAAATACACTGAGAACAGTCTCAGGTGTGAAGTCAAAGCATTTGACCAATGCACACTATTATTATGCAGTAGACATTTTTTTTTCCTTTTACTTGAAATGAAGCTCTTTATATTCCAAACCCATGAGAACCACTTCCTCGCCACTCCGAAGGTACCGTGCAGGGTGATTCTCACCTTTGATCACAATGCTGGCAAGTGCAATGACCTTGAGCACAGAAAGTGCATTCCCTTGGCCAGCCTTTCACTCAGGGATGGTATCAGTGCATTCTGAGGGCTTGCTGACATGCCTGGTGGCTCTCAACCTTTCAGCCCAACTCCCTCCCCCTACCCCCCAGTATCTAGTGTGCTCACTTGCTTGATTTACTTCCCTGAGTAACTCCTCTCATTGAATACACTGACTTTTTGACAAGTGGGTCAAGGGATGGACTAGGAGAGTCTGGAAGGAAACGGTTCTTATGAGAATTACAAAGAGGCCAAGGAGTACATAGAACTATCCGGAAGGCTTATAAATTAGCAGCAAGGAGATCAAACGCAGAGGCCGAGAAGGAAGCTGGAGCTCCCTGAGCCCGCTGTGCAGAAGTGTAGCTTTGTAAACACTACCTTGGCTTTTTCTCTTCTCTTGCTCACGCCTCCCTGCCAGTAGTTCTATTAGGTGTCAGTGTGTCCATTTAGAAGAAGGCAAGCTGAGGATAAAAAGCTTTAGGAGCTTCCCAACCCACAGGACTTGGAAGTGGAAAGTCAAGATTAGAATCCAGGTTACTTCATTGTGGTTCCTTAGTTGGTTTGCTTGGTTTCTTCTCCTGTTCTCCCCTCCCTGGCCCAGTTTATAATGTGTGTAAAGGAAAAGGAAGAAAACAGGATGAGAGAGAATGAACTGTCATGATGTAAGGGAGAGACAGACTAGGGACTTGAAGATAAATGAGAGGCCGAGTCCAAATTAATACCTACCTGTGGAAATCATGCTTAACCTGTGTGAGTTTCAGTGGAGCTATCACCAACTGCACAGATGCTGAAGCAGAGCACCTGCACCAGCCTCCTGAGTGGGGATTTTAATGACAGATCCCCACTGGGGATGGGCACTGAAGGGATGAGGCAGGCAGGTGTCTTCCCTCTGGGTAGTGGTACAGATCTCTCAGGTTGCCAGGATGAGGAGCATGTGGCACCTGCAGGCAGGCTTTCCCTGACTTGGTGCCAATGCCATGAAAACCTGCCCCAGGGTGCCGTGATCTCAACTTCTTGCCTTAGCTGAATCCAGTGCTTAAAGAGAAAGCAGATGCAGATCTTGGTTCAACCTCTAAAAGCTTTTAAATTATGAGATCTTAGAAAAGGCCTGTAGGAACCGTGCTGTGATGAACCCAAGCTGTTGTTTGTCGCTTCTACAGAAGCCATCTCCTGAAATGCCCGTCTTCCAGTTCTATCACATTAATGATTATTTATGGATGGGTCATGAATTTCCCCATTGGGTATCAAGCATTACATCTGTGCATTTCCATAAAAACAAGGGCATTTAAAGAAAAAAAATATATCAACATTCACATAATCTATGCAAATCTATTCAAAGGGATTGTATAAAACTACTGCTTCTCCCCGCACCCTCGAATGCAGAAATCTGGCTTCTTTTTTATCTCTTCATGTGTTTTTTAGCTCTGTGGTTGAGGGAGGAGGGGGCTCACAAGTCAGGGCGAGATGAGCCACTGTTCACGACACAGGCTGCCTGTGCAAGGCAGTCCTGCACTTGCAGTTGTGAGCAGAGAGCCAGGTGTGGGAGTGCACCATGGTAGGAGCCAGCTCCCCGTGAAGCAGGCAGCATTTCACCAGAGGGAAGTATCAGGTTCCTGTACTCGGCTGTGGGCTGTCACTGTCTACTAATATGACCGTTTTGCCGTCTCTCTGCAAATAAGGCAGAAGCTGCTACCTGATTGGTATAGCAGGCATCTCACTTTCCCTCCGCATTGATTTTCTTGTTCTCCTCCTTTGCTTCACAAAAAGAGGGACAAGTGGCTGCTACAGTGGACACAGAAGCTTTATTTTTAGTATGAGACAACCTCTGTTTTCTTTCAGGAGAGGGAAGTTGGATTATCAATTCTTTTGTAAATGTGTATGGTGATATTTGCTCCGGTGAGTTTTTATCTATCTTGATTTATAGCTGGCTGTGTGTGTGTGTGTGTGTGTGTGTGTGTGTGTGTGTGTGTGTGTGTGCACGTGCGTGTGCGTGCTTAGATACATTTCAGCTACACACTTTTTCTTTCCAAATAACATTTTTGGAATGTTTCAGGATGTTTTAACTTTTTTTTTTTTTTTTTGCTTTCTCTCATGCATGAGTTTAAATGCAAGAGGCTGTGTTAGTTGATAATGTGATGTTTAGCTTTTACAATATATACTGGGTTTCTTTTAACATAGTAAGGCAATGCTTAAGGAAATTTATTTGCTTTATAGAAATATAATATCATTCTACCCCACCCTCAAGAGTGTAGTCATTGCACTACAACTTGCTTACTATTTTAATTAAACTTTTTTTCATTAGTGCCGGAGTGAGAATTTTTAAACTTCAAAAATATCTACCAAATATTGTATTCTGTGTCCAAAAATGCATGCTGTTTTGCAAGATCTCATATCAAAGTAGAATAAATGGGATGCATCTTTACAATAACTGGGTTTAGCAGAAGTATTTGGACTATTAAAATGAATCTCCAACATTTCGTGAAAAGACTGACTTACAAGTGGCTGTTGCTGCTCTCCTGCCTTCGTTTTTACACTGTGCATTTATGCCACCATCTGTCAAATATCCACCCGTAGCTTTTACATTTCTGTAGCTGAAGCTAATCAGGAGAAAAATTGATGTTATTAAATTCAAACAAATGCAAAAATAGATGTCTGGTCATGACTGCTAATAATGATTTTTAATTGCATTACCTAGTTAACTGATTGGTCTGTTTTTCAGGAGTCAAAGATGCTCTGAATTCGGTGTTGTTCATGCAGAAGTCTGGGAGAAAGTATATTAATGTAATTATCCCAGGCAGAGATGATAAGATGTTTAACTAATTGCTCTAATGGAAACAATCTGACACTTTAATTTTTTCTTTTTGTTATTCAAAGAATCTGTATAGTCTTTTCATGGGGAAATGGACAAGAGAATATATTTATAGTGAAAGTTAAAGGCATGAGAGAATGTGAAGAGGATGTCTATATGTTTTTCAGAGACTTTGAAAGTAAAATTTGGACTATCATACATGCCTTGAGCTCTGAGATATAGATTCTGTTCCACAGCAGCAATTTTTTATATTCCAAACTGGTGTAATGGCTGTTCATGGAAATAGTGATGTGTATGTGGGAAAGTTGTAATGCTCATGGACACTGCCTCTGGTTAATGCCACGACTCACGTACCCTGCAAACACTGGCATAGAGCTGTCTGTGCTGACAAATAGAATAAGTTTTGATTAATTTAATGCAATTTATCAATGGACAAATCCTCTCAACCTATAAAAAATTAGCATATTGCCTTGTTTCTAGTCACAGCGTGACCCAGTAGCAGCCATTGGTGTTTGTGTACCTAGGCTGGAGTCAAGTGCTTCTGAGCAGTTTGTTGGAAAAGCAAGCACAACTTTTAGCTTTGGATGCTGCCAGCTACTCCCCAGTGAATACATCAGCAGTGCTTCCACCCATACTACTGATCCAGCACCTCTTTTCTGTCCTTGCCATTGTTTCAGGCTGGATATGCAGTTACTAGTTGTTAATGGAGTTATCATCTGAGGTTATTCATAAATGAATGAACTTTGAAGGTGTGGCATCCTGCTGACAGCACAGGTAGGGCTCTCACACTCAGGGCAGGGGAAAGACTACAGGGTCTCTGCATCCATGAGAGGTCAAGAGTTTTTGACTTAGTGACAGTGTATGTGTTCCTTGATAGTATCTCATCAAAAAAGTCCAAAATGACATAGCCCCCCCAAAAAAATCTATTGTAATCTATTTTGGGGAATACAAAATAATCTGTGCCATGAGGAAGAAAATTAATTGAGAGGTTTAAAAAATTCTTTTTTCACAGTGCATTATCTGTTTTTGTTTAGCAAAATGAAGAATGTGATAATCATTCCCGTTGAATAAATACTGGTATATGCCTGGCACTGGCTAACCATTTATATGGTTTGTTGCCTTGAATCCTCCAAACAGTTCTCTGAGGGAAGGCACAAGGCCTTCCCATTTTACAGATGGGGTGCTGGGTGCAGGCAAGTATGACCTTGCCTGCGGCAACACAAGGATGAAGGTGAGAATCAGGCAGGTTCATTCCAGATTCAGGTTTCATCAGAACAATTGGAACTCTTAGACTAGATTGATTTAGAGAGATTTCTAATAATGCATGGTATTTTTGTTGTTTTTTTCCTCCCCCTGCCACTGACTAACCACCTTCTTCTCAGCCTGCGCCTTTGTGACTCTTAGCTAATTACGTGTTTGAAACTGAAGAATGTGTGCTTTATTTCCACCCAATTTGTGCAGCTTACAGATGTGGATGTGAGGAAAGTGGGCCAGTCTTAGGAAATGTATATGCAGAAGTGGCTAAAGGAAGGCAGCTTTTATAATTGATGCAAATAAATCCATTCCTTTGACTTTCAATCTTTTGAACATAAAGTCAAAGCAAAAATGCCACAATGACTTAGAAATATCAATATCCCAAGGTATCTTGTTCGTCATTAAAGCAAAATATAAAAAGCCATTCCAACTGAATTGATTTATTTGTGGAGAACTTTATAGAACTCTCAGCTTTCTTTTAATCACCCACACCATGATTTTTCTTTGTGTTCTCTGGATAGCTGGAAAGGGCTGAGGTGGCACTTCAGTTAGAATGTGGACAACCATCTGTGTCACCTGGGTAATTAAAAAAATGAACACAGATGATGACAAACATGTAGCAAGGCATGGCCAAGTGACAATTTGGAATCTCCAAACATTCCTTTGCTTTTGCACACTAAACACGATCACTACCCATTTGAGCCAGTAAAATTCACATGAGTTTTATAGGGGGAAATGCACCTGACATAGAATCAATATGCTTGAAATTTCTTGTCAAATAGCAGTTTACAGGTTGGTGGCAGGACACCCCAGTCTTGAGCTGAGACTGAAATGGTGTATTTCTCTTCTCTGTCAAGAGAGAAAAATTATGAAAGAGGATCATGAGTGATGAAATTGCTTCTAGAAAATAGATTCTGGCTCGGGAATACCCTTGCTTTATTGTCCTCCTAAAAATCAGAGGGATCTGGAAAAAAAAAAGAATAAGCCCACCCACCAAATTGGGAATGCTAGCAGCTGGGTTTTGAAGTGTTAAACAAAATGCTGAGGTTTACATGTGATTTGTTGTGTCTAGTAAATGGTTGCTTTTAAGGTAGCATCTGCAGACACCCAGGTTATACAGCAGGGTTCAGAGTACAGCACACAATAAAATGTTTCCTAAAGTGATAGTCATTTCTGTTGGAGGAAATCTTGGCAGTTTGTTGATCTGACTTTGTTTCTTTTCTTGTTCTTATAAAAAGAGTCATTGTAACTAGGTGGTTTAATCAGAAAATATAGAACCAGAGCTAGTACTGATAAACAAATATAGTTCAATTTGCTGTTTCTAATAGCATTTTTTTTTTGAGATTTAAGTATACAGTAAGGTACCAAATAAGAGCTAGTTTAATGACATTTGTTGTGCTCAGCCTGGGACTTATCAAATAATAGGGCATGCCTTAAAACTAATCTTAGAGGTAATTTTCTAAATTCATCATGTTTTAGTCTTTAGCAAGAAGACACCACTTTTTTCCAAGAGGTGATCCAATCCCAAATAAATAGTATGAGATTTGTACTTCATCTTACCTGTCTGTCTTTCTACACTTTGTTTGGCTATGTGTGTTGATGCATGTATTCAAACATACTGAACATCAAATGCTTTAAAATGCTCTAAGAAGTATAAAGAATGTAGCCAGTATTAAGATATAGTGAGTGTTGGATTGGTCTTCAATTCATCCCCAAACATCCTAGGACAGATAGACTGGTGGTCTTAGTGTACAAAAGAAAAACCAATCATTGAGTTATTTTGAGCATGAAAGCAGCGTGTGAAGCCCTAAGAGGCTCGGGGTCATCAGTGTGCCTTTAAATGTTTAAAGATTAGGTGAGTTGAAAATGGAAACACCTCAATCTCTCTACTCTGCAGACTAATGGATCTACATAATTAATATATTTTGTAGAGATCATTTTTTATCTCTCATTCAAGCCAAAAGTACTAATGGAAAATTGTGCAGGGGTCACTTCAAACACATTCCAGTACAGTTCTGGCAAAGCTTGTTCCTAGCCCTGGGACGTCAGTTCACTGGGTGTGGACTGGTAACACGAACAGAGAAGCATGTCATTGTGATCCTTTGGGGGAATGCTTTGTTGGGCATACAAGGAATCTATTGATATCCCCATGTGGTTTTGGAAGCCATTCCCATAGGATATTTAAATTATTCCAAGTTCTACACATTGTGTCAGTGTAGATTTACAGCAAATATGAAAAGTAGTTGAGCCTTGGCTTTACTTCTGATAAAATATGAGTTTAAGAATATTTGTGTCAAATATGAATTATTGCCACCCAGACATTTTAGTTCACCATATTGGCCTCCATTTCCCAATCATAAACACATGTGTCTGGATTTCTCTAAATTGGCACTGTTAACATTTTAAAATTTTTCTATTTTATTGTTTTTGTTTGATGACACAAGCACTGCAATTTCCATTACCCCCTCCCCACATTCCCTCCCCAACACTAGTTACCTTATATTATTACTATAGTATAGTTCTTCATAAACAGTCACATGTTCTTCATCGTGGGCATGGACAATGGCAGAGTCCAGCATCCTATTGTCAAGATATATTTAACAGTTTCACAGGAAGTCCATCTTTGATTTGGAAGTAGAGATGCATACTGCATTGTATCTTCACATCTGGATATGATAGTCTCCATTACAACAGTTACTATACATCCCCTTAAGAGAAAAGCCATAAAACAAAATTGGCAGGAAGAAAAAGAATTAAAAATGCCATGAAGTTAAATATCATGCTACTGAATGACTAATATGTTGCTGAAAAATGAAAAAGAAAATGAAGAACC